GGTTACAGAAGTGAAAACAAGCTGGTTAGCAAATATAATGTCTGGAATTAGCACATTCCATGATTCATGGCGAGGGCAATTTTCCAAGGCCCAAGGTTGCCCCCGTTTTCCTTTTGGTGTGGAGCAAAGTTGCTTCTGAAATGGCTCTGAACAAAATGGAGTAACTTAGGGAAGTTTGCTGAGCCAGTTCACCCTTCAGATATAGGTCAGTAGTAGAGTTGTTTGGTATTGTGAGGCCCTGGGTTCATCTTTAGCACTACAATGAAATAATAGTGTATTCTTATGCTCCAGGAGGTTGGCACACTTCAACTCCAAGACAGAAGTTCCAGAGCTCCAAGCTCAGAACCCTGCCAAACCTCATTTCATGTATCTCTTCATCAGCATGATCATTTACATACTTTAAAATGTTATAAACAGATGTCAAGGTATTTGTTGTTGTTGTTGTTGTTGCTGCTGCTGCTGCTGCTGCTGTTTTGTCTTTTTGAGACAGGGTCTCCCTGTAGTCCCAGATGACCTGAACCCACTATGTAGACCAGGCTGACCTTGAACTCACAAGGATCCACCTGCCTCTCCCTCCCGAGTGCTGGGATTAAAGGCGTGCACCACCATGCCTGGCCACAGTATGTTTTTCTGTGCTCTATGAACTGCTGCAGAAATTCTTCAGACATAAAGAGAGAATTGTGGGAACCACAATTTATATCCTGTCCATCATAAGCATAGGAGCTGATTAGTATCTGAAGTATGGGACATTCTGATGAGACCAAGCTCCTAAACTGTAAGATTTGGGCTAGCTCTCTCAGTAAAAGTGTGTCACACCTTTTTCTACTACTGAAGCTCAAACCCAGGACCATATGCATGCTAGGCAAATGCAGGCAGTATCACAACTACTTGAGTTATAGGACAGCACCCTGATCTCCTACTGAAGAACTGATTGTTGGTGAAAATAAATCCCCATGAAATATGGTAGTGAGATTTGAAGTACCCTGTTATCTATGAGTATTATGAGTCATTACCAAAGGCTCATTCATGACTTTCCATAGTTGTTCACCAGCTGGTGGTACTGTTTGTGGAGGTTCTGGAACGTTAGGACCTATGGCCTAGCCAGCAGAAGTAGGTCACCAGGAGTGAACCTTGAAAATTATATCCACCTCTGACTCCCACCCTATCTCTGTGCTTCTTGATCAGCCACAATATGAGGAGTCCCTGCCACCAGCTTCCTGTAGTATCAACTCTACCTTGCCCTCCCCACCACCATGGACTGAGGCTGTGAGTTAAGTCAAAATAGATCCTTTCTCCCCTAGGTTGCTTTTCTTTTTTCTTTTTTTTTAAACAGAAATTCCAACTCTCTATGTAGCTAAGCATGGCCTCAAATTCCTGATCCTCCTGATCCTCCTGCCTCTACCTCCTAAGTGCTGAGATTACAGGTATGTACCATCATACCCGGTTTATGTGGTACCAGGATCCTACCCAGCACCCTATGCATGCCAAGCAAGTGCTCTACAAACAGCTGCATTCCCAGCTCGCTGAAGTTGCTTCTGTTGTGTGTTTTATCACAGTGACAAGAAAAATAACCCACCAAGAACAGAAAAACACTGTGGCTCTCTATTCCTTTCAGAAAGACATGCTCAAACACGGAAGTTTGAAAAAATAGGTGACAAGAAAACTTTTGAGGGATGAGGGTGTGGACGCTGCTGAAGTGGAACCTGGCACCTCTGGCATGCCAGGTAAGCATCACTGACTAGATATTCCCACCCAGATTCCTGTATTTTAGTTTTACAGATACACAAAGTCAGATACGTTGATGATGCTGTTCGCAGATTTCATTCCCACTTAACAAACTTCTTGGACATGTTAAGGAAAAGGGAAAAGAGTGAAAGCTTTGTGATTTATTAAAGAGCAAATAAAATTAAACTGTTGTTCAATATTTCAATAATTTTCATTTGCATATTGCTATAGAGATTAACGGCATTCCATAACAATCAGCATTGCATTTAACTAGCCACACCTCATCGTTGCTCCTTTCTTGAAAATCAAGTTGAAGTCAGACCTCGTGGTTCATGCCTGTAATCCCAACACTTGATAGGCTGAGGCAGGAGGATTGCCACAAGCTCAGTGCAAGCCTGGACTACATAGGCATTCTAAGCCAAGCCAGCCTGGGCTATAGTATGGGATCCTGTCTGGAAAAAAATGAGAGAGAGAGAGAGGAAAGAGAGAGAGAGAATCTCTAGGGGAAGGTCATGGCACAACTCCTGTAGCTTGTAGTAGTAATGGGCTCTCAGCTTTGGAAGTCAAATTTATTCACTTATAATATCAAAACTTGAAAACTCAGCCAGGCCTGGTTACAATGCCTGTAATCACAACACTAGGGACGCTGCGGCAAAACATCCTGAGTTCAACAGCAGCCTGAGATAGAGCAAGAGAAGAGACACAACACTCATCCTAGAGTGTGCAGTTCAAATATCAGTCCAGCTTTAGACACTAGAGTTCTAAGGATTCCTTTTCTAAACTTAGATCTGTGAGGATGGGGAAACTGTGAGGCAAACCTGCTTATAATAGGGTAACTTTTGTTTTACAATACACTGAGCAATCACTGAACTACACTCTCCCAAGATCACCTTTTTTTCTTTCTTTTTTTTTTTTTTTTTTTTTTTTTTTTTTGAGATTAGGGGGTCTCATATAGCCCAGGCTGTGCACAGCCATGCCCAGCTTAGAGGTTGATAGAATGTGTGAATTGCAGAAAAGCCTTAAGTGTGTCTGCAAAGGTCATGATTCCAAGAACTGACCTCGCAGCATTTAGCCACGCCCCCAGTCTTCTTGCACAGTATGAGCTGCCCTGGCTGGCCCTGGATGTCGCACTAGCTGAAGCAGGGAGTGTCACCCCAACATTTGCGTCCCTAGGGAAAAGCGGTGCAGAAGGACACCCCCGCTGCCCCTGGGTCCAGAACAAGCGCGCCTTAGATCGGAAGCCTTAGGGCACGGCCCAGGGGAAGAAGCAGCTTCCGCACCACCTCTAGTCTAGGCCTCAGGCTGTCAGGCACGAACCGCGGATCCACCGGGTCCGGACAGAGACGTGGGCGTGGCTACGTTATGCACAACGCGTGACATCACTGTGGGCTGCGCGTGCGTGGTTGGCCTCTGACGCTCTCTGGCGGCTTGAGGGAGCCGAGCGGACGTGGAGCATCCCCCACCGCCCCCCAACCCCCGGCGGAGGGCGATGGTGAGTGGGGCTGAATGCTGATTTGAAGACTTCTCTTTCCTATGGATGGATTCCTTATTTAGTGAATATTGTACTTCATTAACTCTGGTCTCCTTTGCTACTTTGCTATTGGTTTATTTTGTTTTGTTGTTGCTGTTGTTATTTTTTGGCTTGGTTTCTATTTTGTTTGGGGGTTTTTTGTTCTTTTTCAGACAGGGTCTCCCCGTAACACAGCTGTCCTGGAACTCACGATGTAAACCAGGATGGCCTCCATCACAGAGCTCCACCTGCCTCTGCATCCCCAGTGCTGAGATAAATGGTATGTGCCACCACACTTGGCACCACATTATAATTAAATGCAACTCTGATGTGTAAGATTTTTAGGTTTAGGGGTTTTGAAACTATAAGTTAATGAAGAGATACAGCGGGCGTGAGGCAATAATTCTCGAACTGCCTAGGCGTGGTGGCTCATGCCAGCACTTGGAAGGCTGAGATGGGAGGATTGCTGTAAGTTTGAGGCCAGTATGGGCATGTAGCCCAGTAAGACCCTGTCTCAAAAAAAAAAATACTCTAGAACCAAGTAAAAGCTTTTGATCCTCTGGGGCACGGGAACCTCAGATTTGAAATAGGTGTATTAAAATTGCAATTAACGGGCTAGAGAGATGGCTCAGCAGTTAAGAACACTTGCTCTTCTTCCAGAGGGCCTGCGTTCAATTCCCAGCACCCACATGGCAGCTAACAACCATCTGTAACTCTAGTTACAGGGAATCCAACACCCTCTTCTGGCCTCTGTGGGGCATTGCATGCACATGGTGCAATTACATACATGGCAGGTGAAACACTCATATGCATAAAATAAAAATTTTTTTTTTTAGGTTTCCATTTTTTTAAATAAAATCTCTCCCAAAACATCATCACTTTTTAATCTTCCCCAGACTGCACTTCATCTTCAGACCCTTCATCTCCAGATTTCTCCATTGGGGGGCTTGCAGACGTCTTCTTCTCTGGAGGGCTTTCTGCTTCCTCGTCGTCATCTTTGGGAGAAGGAGTCTTATCCTTTGAAGCCTTTGAAGCTGTGGGGCGACCCACTTTCCCTTTGCCTTTCACTGGACTTGGTGTCACTGTAGCCTTTAGCCTTGGTTTGGGCATTTTCTTCTCTTTTCTCTCAGGTTTGGACTTCTTAACCATCTTTTTGTTTTTCTTTTTTGAACTGCCATAGTCACTATCGTCGTCGTCTTCCATTAGGAAATCTTCATCGCTGCCAGAATCTTTCTCCTGGAATGGTGCCTCATCCTCTTCCTCTGGTTCTTCTTCACTCCCCACATCTTCTAAGAGCATCTCTCTCTGTTTAGAAGCTGCTTTAGATGCTGCCTGCCGTTGCTGGCGCACATTTTTATGGTCGTCTTTTTCATCTTCACTGTCCTCTGCTGAGTGAGAATCATCCTTCTTGGTCTTCACATCTTTTTCTTCTGAATCCTCACTGTCTTCTTGTGAATTCTTTCCAGATCGCCTTTTATTTTTAGCTTCTGGAGGAGATGACCGAATTTTCTTAGCTGGAGGGCCTGAATCTCTTCCATAATCTTCATCTGCATCATCTGATTCCTGAAACTGTGAATAATCAACGACCTTCCTATTTCTGACAGGCCGCGACATGTTCGCAGTCGAGACCGGACCGAGCCAAGCCGAGCCGAGGAGCAGGACCCCCCTCCCCGCGCGCTCGGCGCCCCACCCCCCCACTCCGCCGGCCTCTGCCGCCGAGCCCCGAGCTGCTGGCCTCTCAGCGTCCGACGCGCCTTGGCTCAGGTCCCTGGATCGGTTGAGCCCCAAAATAAAAATTTTTAAATGATAATAAAATTGTGATTACAGGGCCACCAAGATGACTCAGTGAGTAAAGGTGTTTACCATCAAGCCAACAACCTGCACTCTAGTCCCAGAACCGACATGATGCAAGGAGAGCAAGCTAGTTGTCCTCTTATGGCTACATGCTGTGGTGGCATGCATGTACACCCACACACATCCACAAAATATAAATGTAAAAAACTGTTTGTTTTTTATTGCAGGTAAATTTTTTTCACTGTTAGGACCAGGCAAAGGCTTACCTTTAATCCCAGCACAAAGGAGACAGAGGCAAAGGCAGAAAAATGTCTGTAAGCTCAATGCCAACCTGGTCTATATACTGAGACTCTGTTCCAAAAATATTTTTTTTCATTGTTAGACAAGTGTAGATGTAGGTGGTCCTGGGGATGGAGCCCATGCTAAGCAAGTGCTGTACCACTAAGCTGTATTCCCAGACCCCTAAATCCTGTCTTTGGCCCTTACAAATTGGCCTGAAAGAGTGGAGCTACACACACTACATTCCAGTTTAATTGGTTAATATGGTCCAATGTAAAGAAAAAAAGGACCTAGAAAGATTGAAACTATTAGTAAGCCAGGTGTGGTAGCACAGGCTTGTAATACCAGCACTTAGGAGGTGGAGACTGGAAGATCAGGAGTTCAAGGACAACCTCACCTATATAGCAAGTTCAAAGCATAAAAATCTGTTTTGAAGAGAGAAAGAAAGAACCATTATTAAAAACTATTTCATAAGCCTGGAAGCACACACCTTTAATTTCAGCACTCAGGAGGCAGAGGCACATGGATCTCTGTAAGTTCAAGACTAGTCTACATAGTGAGATCTGGTCTCAAAAAAATAATAAAAGAATTTCATAGCTGGGTGTTGTGGTGGCTCATGACTGCAAACCCAGCACTCAGGAGGTGGAGGCAGGAGGATCAGGAGTTCGAGGTCATCTTTGACTACATAAAAGTTCCAGACCAGCCTTGGACACATGAGACTGTGTCTCAAAAAAGAAAAATTTCTGTTGTTCACCTATCCATTCATCCATCCATTGCATTCACAATATCTTGGCATCAGGAGGTAATTTTTTGTCCCATGGTTGTATGTTCTCAATACTTGGAATTCCACTGTGTGGACTCTTTTCTTTCAGTGTTGCAGGGCTTCATGCATACTAGGCTTAACTAACACTAAGCTACATCCCCAGCTGCAGTATGTAATCTTTTCAAATTGATTTCCTTCACAGCAGTGTACTTACAAGATTGCTTCCTCCATGTCTTCATGACTTAAGGCCTGACTGCCATCTATCACAGAACCATATTTTATCATATGGATGTTCCACAGGTTTATTTATTTGTCTGTTGCAGTCTGCCTTGGTTTACCCTTTAAATTTGGAAGTTATGGGTAAACCGCATATAAATATTCCTGTATAAGTTGTCATATGAACTGTAGTTTTTTTGTTGTTCTTGTTTTATTTTATTTTATTTGTATGCGTGTATTGCCTGCATGTAGGTAAGTGCATCTGTGTCATGCAATGCCTGTGGACAGAAGAAGCAGTCAGATACCCTGGAACTGGAGTTACAGACAGTGCCATGTGGGTGCTGGGATTCAAACCCAGGTCTTTCTGCAAGAACAGTCAATGTTCTTAACCGCTGAGCCATCGCTCCAGCCCCTGAACTGTAGTTTTTATGTGAACTAGTTTTCAACTTGTTTGGGAAAACAGCAAGGCACATAATTTCAGGATCCTATCTATGGTAAGAATATGTTCTATTTTATGAGAAACTACCTGTCTTCCAAAGTAGAAATACTTTGCTTTTCTCACTACCAAGAAATGAAGATCCCAGGCTGGAGAAAGGGCACAGCCATTAAAGGCTTGAGCTCATCCCCAAGAGGAAATTCCCCGTTGGCCTGCATCTCTATCACTGTTTGTTTTTCTCATTCTAAATTTTAGATGTTTTTTTTTTTCTTCTTCTGTGAAAGACTTCAAATTTGTTAATTAAAAATACTTGCTTTTTTTTTTTTTTTTTTGGTCTTTTTATGAAACCAGGTCTCCTGTAGCCCCAGCTGGCACTCACTACACTCACTATGTAGACCAGGCTGGCCTGGAACTCACAGAGATCCACCTGCCTCCGCCTCCCAAGTGCTGGGACCAAAGGTGTGCACAACCACACCCAACTCAAAATACTTGATTTTTAAAGCAAAACAAGTTGCTGGAGGAGTATAATTAGCTAATTTAAAAAATTTGTTTATGGGCTGGAGCGATGGCTTGGCAGTTAGGAACGCTGGTTGTTCTTGCAGAAGACCCAGCTTCAAATCCCAGGACCCACATGGCAGCTAACAATTGTCTGTAACTCCAGTCCCAGGGGATCTGACAGCCTCTTCTGACCTCCACGGGCATTGCACGACACGGGTGCACTCACCTACATATAGGCATAACACTGATGCGCATAAAATAAAAATAATAAATTTTTTTTAATTTATGTTTAAATGTGTGTTTTGCATGTATATATGTGCATTACATGTGTGCCTGGTGTCTACAGATGTCAGAAGAGGAAATCAGATCCCCTGGAACTAGAGTTATAGATGATTGTTATCCTCCATGTGGGTGCTGGAAATTGAAACCAGGTCCTCTGCAAGGCAGCAAGTGCTCTTAACTGTTGAGCCATCTCTCCAAGCCCCAAATAATACAATTTGTTTTTGTTTTTTTGTTTTGGGTTTTTTTTGTTTATTTGTTTGTTTTTTGAGACAGGGTCTCCCTGTAGTGGAGCTGACCTAGAACTCATTTTGTAGACCAGGCTGGCCTTGAACTCTCAGAGATCCGCCTTCCTCTGTCTCCCAAGTGCTAGTATTAAAGGTGTGTGCCACCACATCTAGCAAATAATACAGTTTTTAAAAGTTTATAATCACACATTTGGTTTTTAAAAATTGCAGCACATCAGCACATCATCAGTTTCTGTATGATCCTAACAATAGCCTTTCCTTCATCATAGAGTGAAATACTTTTAGAAGTTAAAGTTATTGCTTAAAATGTTGAACCATCAGCCACTCATGGTGGCGCACACCTTTGGTAGAGGCAGAAGCAGGTGGATCTCTGAGTTCAAAGCCAGCCTGGTCTACATAGTGAGTTCCAGGACATCTGGGGCTACAGGGAGACACTGTCTCAAAAAAAAAATTAAAAATGTTGAAACATCAAAGTACTTCAAAGCAGTCTCATTTTAAGGAGAAAGTATGGGTTGGTTTTAGTTTTGTTTTGCTTTGTTTTTCATTTTCTATTCTTAGCCAAAATTTTTTATCTTCCCAAAACCTTCTGAATCTCTTTCAGTGCCATCCAGTGTTTAACTTCTAATTCTAGATTTTAAAAATCCATTTGATCATACATTTTTACTTAGGACTTTTCTTTCCCAAAAATTAAACAGGAAACACCAAGATTTCTCTCTAATCTTCATCTATGACACCAGCTTTTGCGTTTGTTTTGTGTCCTCTGTAACCCATGCCAGCCTCAGACTCTTCACAGTCCTCCTGCATTAGCCTCCCAAGTGCTGGGATTACACACTCCCGGCTGTGAATTTGGGTCATTTGAATGAGAATCTAGTCATAACTCATTCCATTTTATTTGCAGTTCCCTAGGGCTATATAGCATGCTGGGCATCTTTTCATATGCTGACTTTCTGCCTACAGGTCTTTGTTGATGAAGTGTGTGTTCAGCTCTTTTACACATTTTTAATTGGGTTGTCTTTTTCTGTTTATTTTGTATTTGTTTTATTTTGTTTTGCTTTTGTTTTAGGTGCTGGAGATGGAACCCTGTGCCTCCTTCACATTAAGCATGCGTTCTGCCACTGAGCTACACCAAATCCTCTGTTCTGCTTTTATTGAGCATTTTGATTCTATTTTCCTCTTCTCTTAGCAATAAAAATTATGTTTTTACTTTGTTGTAGCTGCCACTAAGTTTACAACATACATTTACAATTAACCCAAGTTCTCTTTCAAAGCAACACTCACTATACAATTTCTAGGTTGTGCAGTGTGCAAGTACCACATAACAGAGTTGAGGGTTTGGGAGGTTTTGGTTTTGGAGGGGTTTTTTTTGTTTTGTTTTTTAAAAAGAGTCTTACTGTGTAGCTCTGGCTGGCCTTGAACTCAGAGATCTGCCTTTTTCTGCCTCCCAAGTATGCAATTAAGGACATGCACCACCATGCCCAGCCTAACAAAGTGTCTTGAATTCCTCTCTACGACCTCGATCATTACTGTCATTCATTTCTCTTATCCATAATTTGGAATTATCAAGTACAGTGTTGCTGTTCTTTTGGTTTGCTTTTTTGATTTGGGGTTTTGTGTTATTTTTGAGACAGGGTCTCAAGTATCCCAGGTTGGCCTGGAACTCGCCAATCTCTTGCTTTATTCTCCTGAGTGCTGGGATTACAGGCATATGTTACTGTTCCTGGTTTACCAACACTCTGTGTGTGTGTGTGTGTGTGTGTGTGTGTGTGTGTGTGTGTGCACGTGCACGCACACACACACATGCTCATGGGTAGGTAGGTACACCTGCACACAGAGACCAGAGGTCAGCCGCAGATGTTGATCCTCACACACCCACCATTCACTTTGGTTTTTGAAGCGGGGTCTCTTATTGGGCTTGGAAATCACCCATTAGGATGGGCTGGCTAGTCAGCCAAGAAGCCCCACAGACCCACCCATCCCCAGCTTACCGGTACTGTACCACAGTGCCTGGTTTTTCACACAGGTATTGGGAATGGAAATCAGATCCTCGTCCCTAGCAAGCACTTTACCAACTGAGTCATCTCTTTAGCCTTCACTAAAATTAAACTTTTAAAGTCTCACTCGAGAAGGGGAGCCAGCCAGGGTAGTCTGAGGAAAGAGCTAGTGTGTCATGTTGTGTTGGGCCCCATTCTCCCATATGCCTTAGGAAAATGTTTCAAATGACCTTTCAGAGGGAGGCAGTAGTGGGGTGGCCTAGGGATTATTTGGAGGGTGTCTTGGGCCCAGTTGCCATTCTTCATGGGACTCAGTCACCACATGTGCTTCTCCAGAATTTTGTTATTTTGAAACAAATCTCTTGCAGCCAAGCTGGCCTCAGACTTACTCTGCAGCCCAGAATGACTTTGATCTCAAGACCCTCCCCCTGCCTGCACCTTAGGAGTGCTGGGATTATAGGCATCACTCCAGCTTTTAATGTTTCTAGTCTTCCTTTGAGAAAACTATCATGTAGCATTAAGAATAAGACAAATGGGAGCTAGAGAGATGCTCAGCAGTTAAAAGTGCTGACTGCTCTTACAGAGGACCCAGGTTCAGTTCCCAGCACCCACATGGCAGCTTACTGCTATCTGAAACTCTAGTTCCAGGGATCTTACACTCTCTTCTGGCCTCTACAGGCACCAGGCATGCACTTATATACATGCAGGCAAAACACTCATACACATAAAATAAAAATCTTCATAAGGGGGGTAGCAATGGGTTGCCTGTGTAGATCAGTGGTAAAGAACTTGTCTACTACCTGTCTAGCACCTAGCATGCTCAAGGTGCTGGGTCCCATCCCTAGCACCACAAAAAATAAAAATAAAAAATAATGGTTTTATTTTACCATCACTGATTCCTTCTATAACATTCTGCCTTATCATTTTCCTTCTTTTTTAACTTTTTGAAATTTATTTGTTTTGGGGGGGGTTGATCTTTTTGAGACAGGGTCTCCCTGTAGCCCCAACTGGCCTGGAACTCACTGTATAGACCAGGCTGGCCTTGAACTCAGAGAGATCCACCTGCCTCTGCCTCCTGATAGCTGGGATTAAAGGTGTGCACCACCACACCTGGCCTTTGAAATTTATTTGTATAGTGTTTTGCCTGCACGTATGTAAGTGCACCATGTGCATACAATGTCTGCAGAGGCCATAAGAGGGCATCAGATCCTCTAGAATTGGAGTTCCGGGTGGTTGTTAGCTGCTAGGATCCAAACCCAGGTCCTCTGCAAAAGCAGCCAGTACTCTTAACCACTGAACCATCTCTCCAATCTCCATTTTCCTTTTTTCAATAAATTTCATGAAGCATTTCTCACAGACCACATGCGCTAAGCTACAACCCACAGAAGTGCCCTCATTTCCAGCTCAGAAAGACTTTTTCTCCACTTTTTTTCTTTTGGTCATTTTGGAGATTAAACCTAGGGCCTTGTGCATGTGATACCAGTGTGCCACCAGGGAACGTCTCCAGCCCTGTTTTATATTTTTGAGACAGGATCTTGCCTATGTTGCCCAAGCTGGTCTTGCACCTCTGGTGCAATTGTTCTCCCTCAGCTTTCCGAATAGCTGGAGTTACAGGTGCACGCCTCCACACCCAGCTTCTCCCTCACATATAAAGGGTAACTTTGCTCAATATTGATTCTACTATTGTGGTTTTTCTTTCTTTTCAACAATACTTGAAATGTGTCACACCACTCTGTGGCTTGCATGACTTGTGAGTAAAAGCCCATTTAATTAAGGTACATACATTCACACAAACACAAAATCAATCTATCAATAAATTCAAGATCATCCTCAGCTCATGTGAATTTGAGCCTAACCTGTGACTCTGTCACAAAAAAAAAAAAAAAAAGAGAATGAAGCAAAAAAGGAAGGAAGGAAATATTTTCATTCTACCAGAAGAATTTCAGTATTTCTAATGACCTTAACTACTCAGGATAATATGTTCATATAAATCTCATCACAAGTTAGATGTCCATAGGGCTTGTGGCAACTGTGTGTGATGATGGGAACAGATGAGAAAATTGCAGATCCTCAATGCATACTTAGTCATTAAATTATCATTCAGGAGGCTGAGACAGGACGACGAGAGTTGTGAGCAGTAAGAAATTAATTTTTCTCACAAAAAAATAATGAAAAAGTTTTATTTCTTCCAGTTGAACTATTATAGATTTGAGGTGACAGCCAAGCATGGCTTATAATTCCAGCACTGAGGAGGCTGAGGCATGAGGATCACATCTTCTAGGTCAGCCTGAACTACAAAGTAACACCCTATCTCTAAATAAGACCCAGATATGGTGGCAATGCACCTGTAATCCCATTGTTTGAGGAGTGGAGGCAGGGGGATCAGGAATTAAAAACCAACTTTCACTACATAGCAAGTTTGAAGCCAGCCTGGGCTACTTAAGACAATGTCTCAAAAAAAATTTAATTTTGAAAAAAAGGACTTGCAGTGACCATAGTAAAAATGTAGGTGTAGACACATGTATTCTAGATTCTGTTAAAGAAGTCAGTGTGAACAAAGAAATAAACTGACAACCAAGGCATTCAGTAATTGTTAAGAGACCAGAGAATTGTATGTGAACTGCAGTTCAGTGTTAGAGCTCACTTGCCCAGCATGTATGATGCCCTAGATTTAATCCACAATAGTACCAAAAAAAAGTGTTAACCTACAGGCCTGAATATATATCCCCAAGTTTATTCTCTCTCCTTTTTACACATGTGGAATGTTTAGGATTCTGTGACCTTTGAAGATGTGTCTGTGAATTTCACCCAGGAGGAGTGGGCTCTGCTGCGTCCTTCACAGAAGAAACTCTACAGTGATGTGATGCGGGAAACCTTCAGGAACCTGACTTCTGTAGGTAAAGATGATATAATTCCTTCACTTAATTATTTAACAGGCATTTCTGGCTCATCACTATTTTACAGTTTAGAATGTAAAAAGCATATATGTTGATATAAGCCAGGCCACAATGAGCTCATTGTGGACATAGCATCTAATAAAGTTTCTATAATTTCTAACAATTTATAATGACTTTCTGGGTCTGCATTTTAGGGAGTAAAGTGGAAGAACAGAATATTACAGATCAGTACAAAATCCAGGAGAAAAATCTAAGGTAAGTTTACACACTAGAGAAAGCAGTGTTCTTTGAAAGAATCTTACTATATTTTTACCATGAAATTTTTCAAGTGCGAAATCAAAAGTAACTCATACTAATATTTTATTTTCTTCAAAATTCTTCACCAAAAGTATTCTTTGTTTTTGTTTTTTGAGATAGGGTTTCCCTATATCCCCAGTTTGCCTGAACTCCCTTTGTAGAACAGATTGTCCTTGGTCTCACAGAGATTCACCTGCCTCTGCCTCCCAAGTGCTGGGATTAAAAGCATGTGTCACTGCAAGTATTTTAAGTGACACAGGTATTCATCATTTGAAAATATTTTTGCTGAGCATGGTGACACACATCTGTAATCCCAACACTTGGGAGGCAGAAGGAGAAGGGTCATCAGAGTTTCAGGGCCAACCTGGTCTACATACTGAGTACCAGGCCAGTCAGGGCTACATAGTGAGACTGCATCTCAAAGAAATAAATAAAAACAAACTTTTTTATATTTTATTTATTATTTTTATTTTACATGTATGAATGTTATGACTGCATGTAGGTATGTGCACGTGTGTCATGCAATGCCCTTGGAGGACAGAAGAGGCTGTCGGATCCCCTGGAACTGGAGTTATGGACAGTTGTTAGCTGCCATGTGGGTGCTGGGACTCATACCCAGGTCTTCTGCAAGAACAGCCAATGTTCTTAACCGCTGAGCCATCTCTCCAGTCCCCAAAACAAGCTTCTTTAAAACTTGGAAACAGTATTAAGAAACTCCATATATCCATATTACTTTGTTGTTGTATATTTTTCTTTGGTTTGGTTTTTTGAGACAGGATTCTGCTGTGTAGCACTAACTGGCCACAAACTCATGGAAATCCTCCTTAGCCTTCAAGTGCTGGGATTACAGACATGTACCACCAACCTGGCTTTTGCTTTTATTTTGAGACAGAGTCTTGCTGTGTAACCCAGGCTGCCTTTAAATTTGTGATCCTCTGCTTCAGCCTCCCCAGTGTCAGGATTATAGGTATACCAATATGCCCTAACTATAAAAATGTAATGCTGGGAGCCTGAGGCTCAGCCATTTCTCAAAACTGCTGACAGACCTGAGTTGGTGACTTTCCATTCTGCCCACCATCCTCCCGCAGGCACAGGACAGAGCCCGCGGCCCTGGGCCCGTGGCCTTGGCCCATGGCCTTGTTCTCCTTTCAGATTCTTCCCTTAGGGTACATCTGGGCCCCTGTGTTCTGGCTGATATGATTACTCACTCTTTGCTCCTTTGTTTTCATTCTCTATTTAACCCCATGCTTGAGCTGCAATAAACGAGACTTGATCAGAACGCTGTCTTGTCTCCATTTCTCTTGTCTCTTGCCCCATCCAAATCCCCACTCCCCAATCCAGGTACCCCGCGTTGCTGACCCCACGGGCCGGGGTAATGTAATTCTAATACATGTTAGTAAACATAAAATAATAAACAAGAGTGCTCCATACTGCTTTCCATAGGGGTTGTACAAGTTTGCAATCCCACCAGCAGTGAATGAGCATTCCCCTTTCCCCACATCCTCTCCAACATTTGGTATCATTTGTTCTCTTCAATCTTAACCAGTCTGACTGGGATAAGATGAAATCTTAGTGGCTTTAATTTGCATTTCCCTAATTAGTAATGATGTTGAACACCTTTTAAGATTCTTCTTAGCCATCTTTAATTCTTCTTTTGAGAACTCTCTGTTCAACTTCTTAGCCCACCTTTTAATTGGGTTACTTCCTTTCTTGATTCTTTGTTTTTTGAGTTCATTATATATTCTGGATGTTAAGCCTCTGTCAGATGTGTTGCTGGTGAAGATTTTCTCCCATTCTGTGGGTTTTTTTCTTCAGTTCCTTGGTTGTCTCCTTTGATGTACAGAAGCTTTTTAGTTTAATGAGGTTCCATTTGTTGATTCCTGACCTTGTTTCCTGGGCAGTTGATGTCCAGTTTAGAAAATCCTTTCCTATACATATATCTTGTAGATTTTGCCAATGTTTTCTTCTAACAGTTTCAGAGTTTCAGGCATCACATTAAGGTCTTTGATCCATTTGGAGTTGACTTTTGTGCAGGGTGAAAAATAGGGGTTTAGTTTCATTCTTCTACAGGTGGAGATCCAGTTTTGCCAGCACCATTTGCTGAACATGCTGTCTTTCCTACAGTGAATGTTCTTGGCCCCTTTGTTAAATACCAGGTGGCTGAAATTGCATGTACTCAGATTTGGGTCTTCAGTTTTGTTCCGTTGATCTACAGGTCTATTTTTGTGGCAGTACCATGTTGTTTTTATGACTGTAGCTCTGTAATACAGTTTAAAATCTGGTATAGTAATCCCCCCAGCATTGCTCTTGGCGTTCAGGGTTGCTTTGGCTAACTGAGGTCTTTTGTGCTTCCATATGAATTGTAGGATGGTTTTTTTTCCAATTCTGTAAAGAATGTCATTGGGATTTTTATTGGCATTGCATTGACTTTATAAATGGCTTTTGGTAGAATGGTCATTTTTTACAATATTAATTCTTCCAATCCATGAACATGGGCGGTCCCTCCATCTTCTGATGTCTTCCTCAATCTCTTAAAATTTTCATTGTACAGCTCTTTAATATCTTTAGTCAGGTTTATTCTGAGATATTTTATATTCTTTGCAGCTATTGTGAAGGGGAATGTTTCCATGTGCTCTTTCTCTGATTACTTGTTACTGGTATAGAGAGATAAAGCTACAGACTTTTGTACATCAATTTTGTAACCTGAAAATGTTCATCATTTCTAGGAATTTTCTGGTGGAATTTTTGGCATCTCTTAGATATCATATCATCTACAAAAAGGGATAATTTGATCTCTTCTTTTCCAATTATCACTCCTTGCCATATGCCCAAAGGGCTTATCCTATTGCAGAGACACTTGTACATCCATGTTTGTTGCTGCTCTTTTCACAATAGCTAAGAGATGGAAGCATCCTAAGTGTCCCTCAACTGACAAGTGGATAATGAAAATGTGGTTCATTTATACGATGGAGTTTTACTCAGCAGTAAAGAAAGAAATTTGCAGGTAAATGGACAGAACTAGAAACTGTTAAATGACAGAACTAGAAACTGTTATACTAAGTGAAGTAACATGGCCTAGAAATACAAACAACGTATGTTCTCCCTCATATGTGGATCCTAGCACCAAATCCTTATGAATATGTATCCAGACATAACTATAGGAACCAGGATAATGAAAAGGAATCAGGGAAGTAAAGGAAAAGAAAGAATATGAAAGAGAACAGTAGGAAACAGGTGTTAATAAGGGAGATATGGATAAAAATGGGGTTATTTTAAGGGGAGGAGGGAGGGAGAGTTATACAAGGAACCTTGGGTATAAAGGGAAAGAATGAGCTCAAAAGAAGTGGGACCATAGGAGAAAGGTATTATTGAGGGAGAAATGGGGAAAATGGAGACACTTTAAATGGGGAAACCATGGTGGAAGGGTTAGACAATGCAAGAGATAAATAATGCCTAGCTAGTTTTTAAAAATCCAGAGGGAACCATATTAGTCCAACAACCTACTGACAAATTATATATACAGCTAGCTCAAGGAACATAATATACATCTACTCAAGGTTTATCTGAGAACCTTTGGTGTTTGCCCAAGCTTTATCTACATAGCACATGGTAATTAAAAGTACCAGACTAGTGGAACTAACCTTCTTGGATGTTTAACAGCCATATTTTGAGGCCTATACTAATTTGGTCAGAGAGACTTAAAGGACAGTTTTTGCTCCATGCCCTCCAAGGTCGACTAAATTCCAGGGGACTATGGAGCATCTCTCAAAATGCAACTATGGTGAGTCACCTGTTCTCTTGATCAAGGAGACCATGGAGACTCCACCAGATGGACTTGAGCCAGTGTCCACAAAGAGGAGGGTCAACACAGAGGAAACATTCCCTCCATGCTTCCAAGTGAAGCCAGCCATGGTTGAGCAGGACCTTTAATTTATCTTCACATAGATGGAACTGGTAGAGGAAAGGAGCCAGGGGTTCCTCCTAAGCCCATGTGACCCCTGAGGAACAGATCCTCAAACACCCTTAAGAGTAAAAATTAATTGGTTTATCTGGGCCAACTACATGGTCTTAAACACCTGAAAGGAAAGTATAACCAAAGATTAAAGTGATGAATATAATTTTTTAAGAGTCCATATGTATAGCTAAAGTCTACATAACAAGAAACAAAGCCAGACAGGAGATACCTTCCTTTGATTTGTTGGCCAGGGTAGCCCAATAAACTCCCAGACAGTAACCCATCATAGAACTGGGAAAATGAAGAACAGACCATCTTATTTAAAGGAATATTGGCTACTGATTGTTGCTAGATGAGGAAGAGTTCTCAGTGGATGGACTTGCGTTGAGGAACAGCTGGGGGCACTGACAACACAGTGGACAGTAACAGGGATGACAGAGCATATGGGCTCCACTGGGGGGGGGGAGACTATGGGAGGGTGCCATTTGGGATGTGGGTAACAGATGAATAAGATTGTTTGGGATGTTCTGTATGAAATACACACAAAAAAGTCAATAAATAAAAATATGAGTTATATTTGAGGAAGAAGCATAAAAATTTGCTTCATTTAATTGGTGATATGAAAAACATTACCATTGAAATCTACCTGATGACTTTATATCCATGCTTAGGTGCCAAGGATCTCAGAAAGTAACCAACTGTGACTAGTAATAATCAGATATATAGAGATTAGAGATGCATGTGCAAACATTTAAGTGTTAGTAGCATTAAAAATGAGTTTTTCTATATGAAACAGTATATTTTAAAATGAAATGGAGATCTTTTTTAAAGGTTAAAACCTCATTCAATTTTATCT